CTTCTCACCAGCCCCGCTGGCTGGAGAAGGCACAATGCAAAAAAAGAGACCAGGTTTGAGGCCACACCTCTGGCTAAAGGCATTTTGCCTCTTAAACACACATACTGCTGCACTGTACACCCAGTGAGCTCCAGTTGTGTTTTCCTTTGCATGAACATCCCCTGTGCCAGCAGGGCCATTAGGTCACTTGGTGTCAGTGAAGCTCATCACAGCAACTGGGCAGCCATGGGTCACACAAGTGTCTGTTGCATATCGCAGTCAGGAGCTGCTCCCGACTCGTCCCCAGCAGCACAGGGATAGCACGATGTGTTTGTATTAGTCATGCCCATGCCCTGCTTGTTTGCTGTGTTTCAGGGTTCACCAGGTCCCCCAGGGCCACCGGGCCCCCAGGGCGCTCCAGGTCCCAAGGTGAGCCTGACCTCTGCCATGCAGATGGTGTTTCCTAACGAGCAACTTGGTCACTAGCAGCTCTCTGAGTAGCAAGTGTCTCCTAAGTCAAAATAAGGCAGGCAATGGTAGCTGCAGGACTTGAGACTACGCATGGTAGAGGAAATGCTGTTTAACACTTCCTCGGGCTGAGAAACGAGGTTTTCACACACAAGCCAAAGTTTTGTTGACCTCTCTCTGTTCTCCAGCCTCTTCAGAGGACACTGTCCCAGAAACGAATCCACTCCCAATCCTACACCTGATGGGTGAAACCTGGCCCCTCTGAGAGTTCTTCGCTGCACACAGAAGTAAATGGGAGAAGCAGGTGTGAGGAGGGGTCAGCAGTCCCAAAAGCTGGGCCCAGCTGCCCTCCATCCCACCCTCCCTGTGTGCCTCTTGCTGCCCCAGCACCATGCCAAGCAGGACCGCACTGTCCTCCTGCTTCACCAGCATTAGCCAGTAACCTAGGGGCAGCTGTAGTTTCTTTAAAAGAAATTAATTTGCAGAAAAGCATTTCTTGGGAGTCCAGGATGGGGCAGGATTTCAGTGCCTCTCAAGGTCTCTGTGTCACCTAAATTCAGCTGAGCTGGCAATGCTGGCATATCACAGAAACCTCCTTGATGCTGCTCCTGAGCCTGGAAATGCCAAACCCATAACTGACAAGAATAGACTCAATTCGTTGCAAAATGCTTTCCTGAGGTGATACCTTGATTTAACTTACCATGGGCTCCCCTTTCTTTGTGTCGCTGCAGGGAGAGCTGGGCTTGCCGGGTCCACCTGGACTGGATGGTGAAAAGGTGCATGAGGCATGGCTGGATCGAGGGTGCAGGAGCTGAGTTACAAAGGAGTTTGCTGTGTGTCTGTGAGAGCTGTCACAGCAAAAAGCAAATCTCAGCCTGCCAGGAGCAAGCTCTGCCCCATAATATTCAGCTCCATCTCTTTGAGTTAATTGCCCTTTGCCCATGGCCCTGTGCTCAGCCCTGAGCATGCAGGTGCTGCTCGTGGCCACGAATGCCAGGCTGAAGGGGGTCCTTTCACATGTGGTTCATCAGACCTTGTCTCAAATTTTGGTGTAAACCTTCCCAACCCTAAATGGCTGCTATCCCTGCTATGGCCTGGCCAAATTCCACTGCGCCCACAACATGGGTGTATGTAAGTTTGAACGTTAAAACGTGTTTTTGTAAGCTTGTGCTGCAATATGGAGAGAAATGGAAAGGCAGAAATGGCTGGTGGGTGGGGGGAGGTGGTGTTTAACAGTTTTCTCCTAAGTGAGTGGTTTTCTGTAAACTTCCAGGGTCCCAAAGGAGCAAAGGGTGACCAAGGCAGCACAGGGATCACGGGACAGAAAGGAGAGACGGGAGAAATGGGCTCATCAGGTCCACCGGTATGTCCAACCATCCCTGTATGTCTGCTGCATGGTTCCTTAATGCACCGATTCCTGCAGGTGCTCAGCCTGCGGCCAGGTTTGCTGATTTACGCAATGGCCTGTCCACACCACGTTACTTTGGAGCACTAGGATAGGGGACCTTTGAATCTTCTTTGCTAATGATGATGACGATTTATTCTGAAGGTGATCGAAGCTGGTAATGATGGGAAAAAAAAAATCTCATCTTCTCAAACAGTCCTGCAGGGATGGACAAGAGCTTTGCTTGCGCCGAGGATGGAGCTTAGAGGAAGACAAATGTACTTTCCTCTCTTGTTTTTGCTTTCCTAGAAGATGCACCACATGAGCATTATGTTTTTATCTTTTAGGGAGCAGAAGGACCAAGAGGAGACAAAGGAGAAAAAGGAGACACTGGATCACCGTGTCTGCAGAATAATCATGTAAGATCCTGGCAGCACAAAGCCTCCTGCGTGACATGGGGTCAGGTGGAGTCAGGGGGCACAGGATGGAGCTGCTGGTCCTGTGTCCATCAGCGTAGTGGAGCAAAAGCCAACAAGAACTTTCAGCTGCATCTAAATGGGGTTTATTTGTTAGGGAAGAACACTTGGCGCACTCAGCACCGCAAAGTTACTTTAGATTTTGCATTGATCATTGAGATATTGGGTGCTGCTGTTACATTTTGTTCTAAAAACATATTGGGCTCCTTGCAGTTTTATAGGATTTCTGCATCTTTTCTTTTTTGCCTTTTTTTTTTTGCCTTTTTTTTTAAAGCAAAAGGTGTGTGTGTAGTTTTTTATTAATGATATGAGAGCTCCGATTTTGTTAATTTGTTTGGTTTTTCTAATCACAAAGGCTGGTTTCCTCCAGCCTGTGCAGAAAATTTCATCATTTTCCATTGCATTTTGTGACTAGCAAATACACCGAACACCATCGGTCGTGCCTCGCATTTCAGAGGCCAACTTGATTCATGTGCTTTTCAAGATTCATTTATCTGTAAATCTCAACAGCAACTCTTGGATTAGCAGGTATTTTTATTAAAGCCATTAGATCAGAGGGCATTAAATAATGATTCTGGGCTGTGTGAAGTTTCCATTCCCAAGCTGTCTTCTCTCTGTGCCCCCAGCCCCATTAATGTGCCATTTAATTCCCTTCTGCAGATCATACCTGAGCCCGGACCCCCTGGATTACCTGGCCCTATGGTAGGATTCTGGAAAGTGGCTTGTGCAATGGAGTGTTGCTGCAGATTCGTTACTGCGTGCGATTAGTTAAGGTCGAGGGTGGTTTGCTCTGTTTAATCGTTGTGGGCTGCTGTGAACTGGGGGGGAAAAAAGTCAGGGAAGAGCTACAGCGTTTTGTGCTGTCTTTGGAGAGGTGGAAGCACCAGATTTAGGAGAGTATATCAGCATTTGTGGCATGTTTTGCAAATAACTAAGTTGCTCTTTGGGATGGAAAAAAGATAAAACTTTGAGGGATGGGAAAACCTGTTTCCCCCTGTGATGGTGTCTGTATTCCCACAAATTGACCCAATTCAGTAAGATTTTTGCCATTAGCTGCAGTGGGAGAGGATGCGGGCAGTGGTGAACACATGGAGCATTTCTGATGCAGATATCCAAGGGATTTGGTACCTACCATGCTCCAAAAGGCTCAGGAGCCTTCAAGGGCATGCGGAAGGCCAGGATGCCTGCGCCGTGTCCAAGAGGCACCTTGAGAGACCGCGTTTCAAAGCCAGTTGGCTTTTCAGACACATTCATAACCCGGGAAGTGTCCCCAGCCTTGCCCGGGTGCCGTCCTCCACAGCTTTTGTTGCCATTTGCTTCAGCAGAGCTCTTGCGGGGCTCCTGCTCCCCAGCACTTGTGTTGCAAAGCTTTATTGTTGCATGTTACACAAAGCGGCCCTTTTCAGTTCTTCTTCCCCCGATTTGACGTCGGAGAACCAAATAAACTGACACCTGTCTTGAAAATAAATACTTGGCCATTGTCAGCCCATAATTTGGGCAAGAAATTGTTTGGGAAGCAATCTCGGGGTTTGTTTTTAAGTTCTGTTTTTACAAATGCGCCATTGTCTTTCCTGTAGGGTCCTCCAGGAATCCAGGGGCCTAAAGTAAGTCAATAAATTAAATGTCACCCACTGTTTCCCAGCTGCCAGTGCATTATTTACAGGCTCACAAAGGCCTGTCAGCTCTGGGGACTGAATTTTTGTCACTGCTTGTGACAACACATCCCTTGGTTGTACTGTTCAGCAGTTTGCATTTTGGAAAAGAAGCCAATTTTCCTTCCAAACACATTTATGATCTTAAATCCTCTCCAGCACAGAGTCCTAACAGCTGGCAGCACATGCGAGTCAGGGTTTCCAAACCTGCAGGCTTCAACCTGTATTTCAACCATTTTCTTACATGGTCTGGTCGAGAGGAAAACGTTAATGGCAGCGCAGGTAGAAGCATCCCAGAGATTGGTGGGGTGGCTGTCCCAAGCAGAGCTGCTGGGTCTTCTTGGTTGATGCCGTTTCATTTCCGCAGGGCTTGGATGGTGCAAAGGGAGAAAAAGGTGACAGCGGTGAGAAGGGGGACCACGGTGACGCTGGACCTGCTGTGAGTTGTTTTCCCGCATCTCATTTCTGGCCATCTCAGAAATCTGCCTTACAGCAACCATCCCCATGCCTTGTTTCTTTTTTCTTTAAGGGTCTCCCCGGTGCTCCAGGGCTTATCGGTTTACCCGGTACCAAAGGAGAGAAGGTAATCGTCGCTGTGGGAATGGAGCGGTGATGTTGTGGTGTAATCCTAAAATAGGGGCTGTAGAATCCTGCCAGCACCACCCCAATGCGTGGCGAGGAGCTCCCCTGCAGTCCCAGGGGCTCTTGGGCAAGCCCCTGTTGTCAGTAGTACTAGTTCACCAACTGGATATAAGTTTGCCTGCAGCATCAAGCTCAATATGGCATGTCTTAATTTCTGTTTTTACAACTGCAGGGAAAGCCGGGGGAGCCGGGATTGGATGTGAGTATGGAAAACATAAATTGTGGTATGTAGAAACATTAGCAATATGCATATAAAGGCCATCAAAATGCTTAAAATGGTCACAAAAAATATGTAGCTACCATTATATAGACTCCTCTCCCTTAAACACAGTGCCCATGAACAATGTCTGTAGGAAAGGGCTGGATTCAGGCCGGTTGCTGGACTGCTTCCACTGCACAGCGTTGACTGCTCAGCTGAAGGTGCCACAGGGGTTCCTCTTTCCAGTTGAGAATATTTATACTGGTTTCAGTGAAAGGGATATTTCTGCTAGATGTCATGTTACTGTGGTATGGTAAAGCACTAACTTGCCCAAGAAATTGCTGAGATACCAAGTCAACAAGGAAGATGTCATATTCTCCACCATGGGAGGTTGGGTTGGTCGCTGGAGGATTGCTTATGTTGAACTGAGATGCCGGGATGTCTGCACACTAAACTTAAACCTCTTTCTTTCCACCTAAAAATTGTCATGATAGGGTTTCCCGGGTCTCAGAGGAGAGAAAGGAGAGAGAAGTGAAAGAGGGGAGAAGGTGAGTGGGTTATGGCTCACGGGGTGAGGTGGGAGCAGGACTGGCTGTGCTTTTTGGCAGGCAGCGATGCTCGCCCTGGGTGCTGGTTCCCTCTCCAGCCTCTCGGGTCACTGCTGGGGGCTTTTCTGTGACACAGATGTTTGCATGGTCCCAGGATAGGGCAGGACATATATCTACCCACTTGGAAGTGCTTTCTGCAAGCCTGTCCCCCTTCCCTCCTCCAGCACAACCATCGTGGGGAAATGGAGCAGCCTGACAGCTCCAGGTTGCACAGAATGGCAAGTTTTGGTTTATAGACCTTGAAAATGGATTCCAGCCAAAGGTTTTGTTACAGGGAAGCTTGAAATGCTCAGCTGAGTGCAGGGCAGCAGCTGGAAGCTGGTGCCCCCACTTACTATCAGATACCAACCTGGTTTCTTGCAGAAACTGGTCATTTAGCTATTCTGTTACAAAATTATGGATCAAAATATCTTCATGCAGCTTTAACTGAAGATTTTTGCAGTGATTTACTGTTGAGGTTACGGTAGTACAAACGTCCCTGCTCCGGGTGAGGTGTGGGACTCTGCAAGTGCTGTGTGACCTAAAGCTGTGGTGTCGCCTCTCCTGTTCTTGAGCTTCTCCTGTTGTGCCAACAGGGTGAGCGAGGAATCCCGGGCAGAAAAGGAGCCAAAGGGCAGAAGGGGGAGCCAGGCCCCCCTGGACTGGATCAGCCTTGTCCTGTGGTATGTCTTTTATTTTACTTATCCTAAACGCACAGTGCCGGGACTGAAAAGGAGACGCAGCTTTGCAGCCAGGGAGGGAGGATTTGGTAGTTCTTTATTTTGCAGTAAATCAGAGCAGACCATTACTGTTTTCGCACTTTTCTTAATGGTCTGTTTTATCTGCACTGCTGGAAGTTCACTGCCCGCTCTAAGGGCTCCTCTGGCCAGATGGGAGCAAGCCACAGCAGTAAAAATAAAGCATCTTTGTGTAAAGATTGTAGTGGGGAACAATGCGCTTCAGTACCGCTCTGGGAGATAGCGTGTCCTGGGGAAGCTGCCAGCCTGGCTTTTGAGTACAGATGAACTCGGGGCAGTCAATGCAGTGGATGGGAGGCAATTTGAAAACAAGGTCAGCTCCATCCCTTCATCTCCCCAAACTGAGCGAGGGATGAGTCCAGCTCTAGCCCTGCTGCATGGGGAAGGAGGTTGGAGCTGACAGCATCTCTGTACTGCCCAAGATAAGTGATGGGTGAGCTGGAGCTCCCCAGGCTGCCGAGAAGCGGCTCCAGAAGAAGAGACCTCCCTGTGTTTCTCCACCTGCGGTAGCAGCTTGTGTCCCTTCCCAAGCACATCCCAGCCCTCCGCCACAGCGTGTACACAGAGGCTTGCCAGAAACCCCGGGGTGCTGGAGCCTGAGGCAGGTGGATCTCCCAAGTCCCCTTCCAGAACCTCTCATTCCGTTGATAGGGCCCAAGGAAAAAAAATCCATACTGGTTTATAAGATTTGGCCTGCTGAAATTTACCTCCTCTTCATTATTGTTTTTCATATAATGACAATAACTAGAGATCCTTTCCCTGAAATGCTGTGAGGCTGTTGGATGAAAGAGTGACTTGTATCAACTATTGAACTAAAACTACATAAATGTAGCTGCTAGCCCCTAGTTCAGTTGCACTCAACTAGCAGTCCCAGGTACCTGCTCCAACACGTGCCAAAAAAACCCCATTTCATTTCTAAATTTGTGACTTCTTCTTACCCCGCCAGCACAGTTATGGCAATCCAAGCTGCCATATAGCTCCATTAAACCAGCAGAAAGCTCCTTCAGTCAACATGCTTTATTTTGCTTGGAGATTGAATGTGAACAACAATTAGTTATTTTATTTCTGGTGGATCACCCTTCCTCCCTCCACATGCTGAATGATTTAACCCTCATCTTTTTCACTGCACTGTGACGAACGTGAATCTCTGGTTTGTGTATAGAAGATGTTTCCCAGACGACAGACTCTGTGTCTGTGCATCCCCTACCATAAAATAACTCTGCTGACCTGCTGTGTCTTTAGAAATGGAGGTGTAAAGTTCTGGACCTCTCCTCCTCCTCCTCTGCTGAAACACGAGTGTCTGTCTGAGTAACGCCCGTGTCCTTTATCATTCTCAACACACAGTTATTTTTTCAAACAGGGAGATCGTAGTATTGCAGGCAGCAAAGGGGACCCAGGTTTCCCAAGCCTGGACGGGGTGAGCGTGCCCTGCCCTTTGGTACAGTATCTGCTCTTTTTCTTGCATGGCTTGTGTGTGTGTTCTGCTGTGGCCAAGCCCTGTCCCGAGGCGCAGATCCCTCCAGGGAGAGGAAGGACACAGGGCAGCAGATCTGAAGCAAGATGTTTCACTTTGGCACTCGAGGAAGGACGCTAATGTGTTGTGCCTTCTTCCCACACCATTAAAAAAATGACTTTAGATAAGGAGTGCAAGCAATGGGAGATCATGTAGTGGATGCTTGCCCCTTTATGGTAACAGATGCTAAAAAACAGCTGTGCTTTCTGTTGGCACCTATGGCCCAGTTTGGTTCCTGTGCTGCTGCAGCCCTGAGTCCAATTCCCAGCTGGGTTTTGAAAAGCTTTTCCAAATGAACAGTCAGTCCTGCGGAGCAGGGTCACCGGCACCCTGGGCATTTGCTGTGCCAGCACCGGTCTGCCGGCAGGGCTCAGGCTGGGTCCCGCACTCACACAGGAAGGTTCGTGCTCTGGTCCCCGATGGAGCATGGCACAACGAGCTAAAGGAGGTCACTGGTTTAATTTTTTTTTACATAGAGAATGCTGCGTGCTAGATGATTTACAGTTGTCTTCAGGGAAACAAAAGGGCAGTAAGCTGTCTCTCTTTCAAAAAGTTAAATTACTTTCATATGTGTCAAAGCAACCAATTACTAACAGCAGGCCCATTTCAGCTTTTCATATTTACTCCCCAGAGATGATGTATTTACCAGCTATTTCCCATCTGAACTATAATGGAAACACAAGACCCAGCTGTATAGAAGGCATTGTAAACTGCAGTAGGTGATTTCTCCCAGTATGCAACTACTGCAGGACTAGTTAGTAAAGCACTTGCACATCTTCCTGCTTGTCTGTGAGGGTTATTTGCATGCTGGCTGGAGCATCGTCTTCATTCCCCACCGTGCAGTGGGGGCTGGCTGGGTTCTCACGTGGCTTTTGGTCCAGGAGCGTGAGCCTTACACACAGGTTGCAATGCTCTTTTTGAGTTGACAAATCATTTCCGAATCGCTTGAGTGAAACATGGTAGAAAGGAGTGGAGTTTTATGATGGCCAAAATAAGTATTTTGAGTGCACGGGAAGGAGAGAAAGCCCAGGGCAGAAATCAGCCCCGTGACCATTGGTGTTAGGATGCGCTTTAATGCCAGGTCAGGATCTTTCTAAGTCAAACTGCTCTGTGCTTTGTCCCCTTTACCCTCACCCCCAGACACCTCTGGCAGATGTACAAGTTGCATTTTTCTTATTAATGACTAGTTATCGACTAAAATATTTACTAGTGTCAGCAGAAAAATGTGCGTGTTTTCTAACTAATGTTATAGGAAAGCATGTGAAAATAACTTGATCTATTACTGTGAGTAGCTGGAGAGGGCAGCCTTACTTCACTGCATCTGTTTTATTGGGCTTAGGCTATTTTACATATAAAATCAATACAGAATACAAAAAATGTGATGACTGACATTTACAGTAAAAAATGTAAAAATGCATTTTGACTTGTATTTGCACTGGCAGTTATCTCCGCTGCGTACGCATCCTCGTGGCTTCCCACCCCTAGATTTTGGGGGTGGCTCTGAGGGAAGGGTCAGTGCACGTGTGCTCCCTGTAGCTCTACATGCGGAAATTCATGCAATCAGAGATCCAAGAGCCTTAAAAAAATCCAGCATCAGAAAAGGCAGCTTGAAGTCTGCTATTTCCTCTAAAGTATCTTGGAAAAGTTGGTCATACACAGTCCATTCCTCTTCTAAGGAGCTCCTTCATTTTCAGTGTTTTCCTCCTTGGTGAGTAAGCTCTTCTGGCTTTCTCTGTGTATCTTGTATCTCCATCAGAAAAAGACAAGGATTTTCACTCCCTTTGCATAGTCCACAACTCATCTTATTTCAGTCAGTTCAGCAACTCAAGATCTCTTAAGGAAACTTAAGTACTGCAGGATTGAATTTAACACAATTAGGAACCATCCCTAAAAAAAAAATTACATCGCTGCCCCCAAACTGAAAGCACATATCAACAAAAAATACATTTCCACATCATGCTCTTCATAGATATGTCTGATTGCAGAAAACACTACCTTATAAAGCAGATAATGAAATAAATTCACTGTGGTTCCAAATTTCTGTATTTACTCACATTTTCTTTTTTTGTTTAAAGGAAAGAGTATATTTATTTTAATTTAATAGTTTACTTTTTTTTTTACCCTGGTGTGTACGGGTGTATTCAGTTTTGTGTTCTGTGTGACATGGATTACATTGCCCACATATTACTTTTGTGTATTTACAGTAAATGTGCTTTGCATGGATGTTAACGGTGCTGCTAAACTTTTCATTGTTCTGAGGACTGAGCTTCAGGTTTTTGGGTCTGACACTTAAATTACTGTGAACAGACATTAAATCTGTAAATTCAATTTTGCAGGGACCAGACGGACTGCCAGTAGCTGGATGTTGGCATAAGGTACAGTAATAATATTAATTGTAGATCCTTGAGCAGGTCCTCAGTAATTTTGTTTGCTGCACGGGGATTGTTTGTGCTGCTGCACTTCCTTTAAGCAACGGGCTGTATACGCCTGGCAGACTAACACCAAGCTTTGGGAGAGCAGGAGTCCATCCAGCTTTGTGTCTTGTTCTGCTCCAAAAAACTAAGCATGAAAAGTCATTCTCGTCAACACTGTCAGTAGCAATGCCCTTTTTTCAGGCTTGCCCAGGCGAGGTTTAATCATGGCCCAGGCAGCTTAGGAACTGCTCATGCAAAGACTACGTCACTCCGCAAAATACGCTTGTGGGACCAAGCCCATACCCTTTAGCTGAGCCTTTGACAGAGCGTTACCTCTTTGTTGCAGTTACAAAATATTTGCCTCCAAACAAGGACTTTTCTCCCATTTTAATTATACTCCACAACCACCACACTGCTTTGCTGCTCAAATCAGGAAGTGTGGGTGCAGGTGGTCAGGTAATTTAGTGCAGTGAGGGGCTGTAAGTGCTAAGGCAGCCCAGGAGAATGAGGAGATGTGTTCCCCCACAAGACCAGCACCAGGTCCAGATGTGCAGGACGATGCTGTAGCCTCATGCTCTGACACAGGCAGGACACTGAAGCTGAGTGGAGATTACCAACCCAGTTTTAGACACGGTATGTGGACACAGTTTGAGTTAATAGCAAGCATGTTACTAACTGGTTGCAAACCCTCGGTTAGAATGTGAGCACGCCCTTAGCATACAGAAGTTTGTAATTCTGTGGTAAGCTGTTTGGATGTACTGTTAATATTAAAAGAAATCTGAATGCAAATCCTTAAAATATTAACAGTAAGATTAGTAAATGTGATGAATGGATGTTTCTCTTTGATTAAAATGTTTGTCTGTGTGTTCTTTTTCAGTGATCTCTAAGCATGAAGCACAATATGTAAATAATGTGGTATATTTTGATCTTTTTAATTTTTGTATAAAAAAAGGGAAAAAAACCTTGCAACAGTAATATATTGACCTTTTTTTATACTGGATTTTGTCATTTATGGACTCTGAAAATATTGTAAAGCTCCCAAACCCGTAAGATACACACAATAACATCAGTTTTGATAAAGGTACCAATGACAGTAGCTGGGAATGAGCAGTATTCACCGCTAATGCTGCTGTGTGAACTACCAGTGCTGAGACAGCGTGGTGCCTGGCGTGCCTTATTGCATGAAGGAGGGAGAAATCCCTTTCCTACTTTGGCTCTCAACTCTGTATTTGCATTGCATGTGCACATTAAAAGGGTGAAAAAACCTGGCTGAAAACAAAGAAAAAAAGGATGCAGCCCTAGAAAAGGAAGAAGCTGCTGTACACCACCTGGTCAAACAAAAGGACTCACAACCTGCAGAAGAAACAAAGCCAAGCTCCATTCATTGCTACCTGCTGTTGATACAATGGAAATAGCAAATCTTTGGCTAAACGGAACAGCTTTGACCAGCTGTGGATATTTCTGCTACGGTCAAGAAAAATTTCTTTTTCTCGAGAGGAAGCACCTCTGGGTCCTGTTCCGGTGCCTGTGGCTGAAGGTGTGCAAGCACTTTGTTATTGTGGAACCCAAGTTCCCCAAGAAACTTCCACTGCAAAATTTCAAAACACAAAAACCTGGTAATATTTTCAAGTGTAGGGAGCTGCAGGACAGGGAGCGCTCTGCTGAAGCCTTTTCGTAACTAACAGAGCACATACTGTTCCTGTTGGGGGTTCCCAAAACTTGTGAGTTTTGAGCAGTCAGTTGTCTCGGTTTGCAGGATTTATTTGCGTTTGATTTTCCTTGGTTTACGTGGTTTTCATTGTAAACTCTAATTCTGTCCACTCCTGTCCTCCTGTTCCTGTCCCCTTTTCTGGTGTCTAAATTATCTCGGTCACATCCCATGCAGAGCAGGGTAATGAACAAAAGGAGGATTACAATTTTGATATCTGCATATGGCATTAAGTGAGATCAATTAAAAATTTTCAAACTATTCCCCTGTTCACATTTTTTAAGATGTTGAAAAAACAGAGATTGTACAGTAAAGAGCCATAAAAAATTATTTCAGGGAGGAAGAAAATGGCTTATAGCCAAGTCTGTTCAGCTTACAATGAAGCTCAAGAGGCAATCAGATTCCTTCACAGGGAGGAGATACTTTATATCCACAAGATCTTAAACTGAACAGAGAGAGATGTACAAATATCCGTCCAATGGGTAAAGCGGAAGGTACACAAAATCAAATAAAGTAAGCCATAGATTTTTAATGATGAGACTGGTTAATCCTAACCAGACCACTTATGTTATCCCCGTCACTTTAATGCCTTTCTGATTTAACAGATCATTTCTGGAGGAAATACTTTAGCCCAATACAAGTTGCTAGGCTCTGTGTAGGAGCATCAGGTGAAATTAAGAGCCTGACCATGATACTAAACCTGATTATATCAGGGCTCTTTGTGGCCTTGATCTCAGAAAACACAGAAGGGAGTATTTTGGTGTACTGAGTAGATCCAAACTCTGTTAGATCCTGCCCTGTACGGGCTGACCCAGCACTGAGGCAGTTCTTGCTCCGATACCCTGAGGAACAGCAGGAACATGCTCAGTGCTCCATGCAGGAAGGGTGATCTTTGTCTGTGGCTGGGCCCTAGTTGTCCTTGAGCTTATCCTTTTAGTCAGCTGGGAGCATCTGTTATCTGCTGGTAAATGAAACAGCCATCTAGCTTGGCAGATGAGGACACAAGAGACTTACGGCTGTAGGCAGTGAACTTTTGTTACCTGTCTTCATTAGCTGCTTTTAGGGTCTACACCTACACATTACTTGCTTTGTGGCTATACTTTGCATCTTTATCAGCTACTGACCGTTTTCTTGGTCACCATATAGATTAATCCATGTGAATTCCGATCAACTAACAAATCAAGAAACAAGAATTATATAACTCAAAACAGCAACAAAAATGCATTTTATTTACTTCCATTTCATGTTGTTAGCTATCAGGTTTGGTGTAGGGGTTTTTAAAGGTGTAAGGAGCAGTTGAACAAGCTCCCACTGGTTTTTAGTGCTTTTGAAAGCCCCCTTCACTGTTCCAAATTAAAGCTAAATATCTTCTTCTGTGGAAGGTTGAAGGCAAATCTCTCACTGATGTCACCGGGAAGAAGATCTGTAATTGTTCCCTTAATGTACAGTTGCTCTTCCCATCTCCCCCCGTCATCTCCAAACTAAAAGCAATTCACTACTCCAAACCACGCTGTGGGCTTCTACACTCAAATTCCTGCACGTGTCCTGTCCATGGAACCTCTATCATATCAATGAGAGTTCAGTCCCCAGCATGACTGCAGAAAGCACAAGAATCTGGAAGTGTCCACAAACAATCTACAATGCAGATAGAAAAGTCTTGTTTTACATACGCTGGCAAAAACTAAACAGCTTTCTATCTAGCTCCTACTTGAAGAAGTTTGATATCACTGAAGCTACAAGACAAGCTAACCTCCAAAGCTTATGAAATTATATTAAAATTTATATTTTCTCTGAGGAAATACCCCGAAGTCCTATTATCTTCAGGTAAACAAGTCAGTATTCCGTCTTCAACTTGTGGAATATCCAGTGCTTGTAGGCATCAACTGTGACCACTGCCAGGCCTGCAAAACATTGATACAGAATACCAGAATAGTGCTTTACCTATTGCTCTGATGGCTCTGCATGGCAGCCGTCCCCCTCCCAACACAGCCTCCGCTGCCACAGAACCCAAGACATTTGTTTGCAATGGAGGAAGAGAGCTCCTTTTGAATCAACTGGACCCGTTAACCGGGGTCGTTCTTCCCAATCCCCGAGGCACAGCCTGACGACTCACAGCATTTCCATGCCAGCCAAGGAAGGCTACAATTCTCGCACAGAACTGCAGCCGGTATCCATACCCATCAGCACCACCACCTCAGCTGCCAAATCTTGTAGTGATCATCTTTGAGAAGTCCCACACAAATGCCATCTCCGCATTGGTTTATTCTGCATCCTGAATGTGGTGAGTCCAGCACACACAAAGAGGATCCATCTCTGCACCTGCAGGATGTCTGACTCGCTGTGCATGTACAGATCAGCAGCCTGTCGGGCTGTAGCTTCTCTGGTCTTTGGGCCACTCTTACTTCCACTAGAAACACTGGCAGGTCCAGATCCTGCTGCTTACAGCACCTGTTGCTACTTCAGCTATGAGGATCTAACCAGTAGATCTCTCAGGATCTGCTGGTGGTACATCTACTCTATACACACCTTCCGTCTCCAAAGCGCCCGAGATCTGTGGAAAACGGAGCTCCTGGGAACAGCACAAGATACAGATCCTCGGGAGGCTGCAGTTGTGAGCTGCACTCCAAGTCCTTACTGGTCCTCAGCTGAGATCAATGCATTTGACCTTTATGTCATGAACTCAGTGTTCCTCATCGATTGCACCACCCAGATCGACAGACTGTATTAGAGGAACTGTTGATTTTTGTATCGATTGTACAGTCTAAATCTGTTTAGGCTTCCATGTGCTGTCCACGCACACATACTCAGAAGAGTAGGTTCTTAAATGCTGAATTGTATCAGAGTGTTCGTGATCTTATTGGGAAGTTAAAGATGTGCTTTGCTCAGCAAATTGATGCCAGATCAGTTGATTTTTTTTCTCCTTCCATATGAAAATGTTTATGCAGGGTCTTTTTGAATACTTAAAAGTTTGCAAATAGCTCACAAAGATAAATCTTACTTTTAGGTAGTACTGGCAGTCTCACTCAAAACTCAGTAATTGTCTCAGCCCCTCACAAAGCAGAGTGCATTTCTTACCCTGGAAACCTCTTCCCCGGTCCCAGTTTGAGAGAATGTAAGACTGTTTTACAGGGATTCAGAAATGCAGCTAAATGTTACCAATAGATATCAGTAGCAATAAACATGATTGACAGGGAGCTGAAACCGAGGAACTGATTTACCTTGGTCACTAAAGCATTTTGTATGTTAGCTTTGTGGGTTCATCAATAGACATTTTGGATAACACACTCCAGTTACTGGTCTTGGGATAACCTGAAGCCCAGGCAAATTTGTTTCATTTGTTTTATAGTTTACAAAACAAAATTATTTAGTCTAATTTAACCAACCATGAAAGCATGGTAATTCCCATTATGTTAAGATAATCATATCTGCCTGCTGCCTGGGAGCAGAGGACAAGCAGCTTCCTTTAAGGCTTGTTCTATTTAAAACTGCAGCTAACAACCATCATTCCCGTTACCACCACCATCCTCTAACATGCTGTAGCCTAATCAATTTTGGAAGCAAAGTTCCTAAACTGAGTTGTACAGGCACAAGAACTCACTTGAAACCCCTAAAAGGTTTCCCAGCCACACAGCTCTGCAGGCAGGGCTACCTGCCAAAGATATGGCAAATGCATGATGTGAGCTGCTGCTCGCCGTGTCTGTGGTGGTTGTGTCAGTCCTGGCTCCTGGTGCTCCCGGAGTGGTGATGCTGCAGCCAAGTGTAAGCATGGGCAGCGCTTCCTAAAGCTTCTGGGGGGTGGATTTTGGGTTGAAGGGAACACACTAAATAACCCCCATGTCTGTGACTCCAGTTCAGCCCTGAAAGCGTGCTGGCAGCTCCAGAGGCCCCTTGCCAGAGGGTGAACCTGATGATTTGGCCTGTGCTGCTAGGGGCAGGTGAGATTAATTTGAGTTTTGCAGCTGAATCCTGGGCTTGGCCAATGAGTTTAGGAGTATTTCCCTGGGTTATGAATCCAATGGCAGACACACGTCTGACACAAACTGACTCCTGTCTGACTTCTAACTGAATCTGTCTCCAAGCCTTAATGCACTGGGATGTTAGTTAAAGTCAAGACATTGTCACATGCTCATTTTTATTCTCATGGGGGGAGTTGCCTTTCTTGTACACACTGCTTCTAACACTTGCTGTATATATAATGGGGATGAATTTATTTCCATATGGATTCTTCACCTGTGTATTTAAAAATAATGTTTCTTCTAACCAGAAAGACTTTCTGAGGCGTTTTTTTCCTAGAAAACCAACAGATTAAATATTTAGGTGAGCTTTTGCCTTCTGTAATTTCTTAAATTCAGCATTTGAAATCCTTAAGCAACGAGCAAAATACATGTGAGGTTTCAGCAGTTCCAGACATTCTACGCCATGATGTGTTCCCTGGAGAATGACACAGGTCATACCCGTGGTCTTAAGATTGTTGTAGTAACCCACTCCACGTCTTTGCGATCACCAAGGCTTTCACGCCTGAAAGCCCCTGTTCTGCTTTGGCTGCTTTCTTCTCTTCCCCACATGCAAGCT